CCCGTGTCCCCTGCATCGGCAGGCGGACTCTCAACCACTGCGCCATCAGGGAAGCCCTTTGCCTTACTCTTAATCAGTATAATTGCATCAGAAAACTTGAGGTTCTAATTTCCCAGAAAATTAACATTATGGCATATTTCACAGCATTACATTTCAGAGGATCTTTACAGCATCTTTTACGACTTCTCTGCTCATGAGGACTGTTCTGGTTTCCTCACAACAGTTTAGGGACTGCCCACACTGGCTCGGGTGTAAGTGGGGCTCTTGGGCTACACACAGCACTGGAGAAAGGAAAGGAAGAGGAAACATGGAAGTGTAACTTTTAATTTCTCAAAATAGAAAATACGTATTTTAACTATTGCAATAATACAGAAGACTCATGAGCTCAGGGTAAGAAGGGGCTCATACTCCAAAAAGAAAAGACTGACATTTTGACTACATCAACATGAGAAACTTGTATGACAAAAATACCAAAACAAAGTTAATAGACTTCTGGTTTCTGGATCTGCATGTTAGGAGCTTGAAAATCGCCACTCCATCCTAACAACAAGGAAAAAGCTGAACAGACTGAAAAATCCACGACTCTTCTTGGATCTGTAAGAGAGGGGAGGATACAGGGCAAACCACTGTCCCTGAGTGTGCTTTTCAACATTGCACTTTAAGTCCTTGCTAATGTAATAAGGCAAGAAAAAAATTAAAAGATATACAGACTGGGAAGGAAGACACAGAACTGTCTTTCTTTGCAGATGACATGATCGTCTGTGTAAAAAATCCAAAAGGATTGCCAAAAAACTCCTGGAACTAATAACCAGGTATAGCAAAGTTGCAGGATATGAGGTTAATATATAAAAGTCAACTGCTTTCCTATATAACAGTAATGAACAAGTGGAATCTGAAATTAAAAATGTAATAACAGTTACATTAGCACCCCCCAAAATGAAATACTTAGGTCTGTTGATAATGGGGGAAGCTATGCATGTGTAGGGGCAGGAGATATATGGAAACATTTTGTACCTTCCCCTCAATGAAACTAAAATTGCTCTAAAAGAAAAAACTTAAGTTCACACAAAAACCTGCAAGTGAATATTTATAGCAGCATTATTCATAAGAGCCAGATACGGGTTCCAGGCAAGACATTCTACAAAAGTAAAAGGTTAACAGACTCTGATTCATGTACACCATGGAATACTAGTCAGTTTTAAAAAAATGAATGGATTAGTGAAACCTGAAACAACTGGTCTATCAGGCCCCAAAGCCAAAACTATCTGATCTACCATCACTGGGATTAAAACATACTTTATAATAGATCTTACAGTAATTAGAAACTTAATAAAAGTTAGATCATTCTTTACTATGAAAAACAGCAGGAGGTTCAGGAATCCTACTTATTGCACAAAGATTCTGCCTTAGAAATAATAAAGTTCCCTTTCAGGGTAAGAAGGTGGGAAGGACTTCTACATCACGTAGAATCAAATTTCTCCATTAATAAGATAATTATAAAACTAAAAAATGCTGTAAAAACTTTATCCTATAACCCTTTGCATTTTCTTAAAAAAATAGTTTTAAGTATATGATAAATATGTTTGATATACAGATGAATGATATAAACTGCTATTTCAAAGGAGTTCCCTTAAAGCATCTTTAGGACAGAAAGTGACATAATGAATTAAGAAAAATTAGGTACTATGAACTATTCATCGAAAGGAATCTGATACTCTTTCCATGACAACCCCAGGAATATAATATGTCAAATTATGTTCAGTGTACTTGGTTTCAGAATGTTGACTACATGTAGGTTGTATGCTATGTAAAACATGTAAATGTCTTAATACCACTTCTATCCAAAATCATTAAAAATTTAAAAATACTTAGTGTAATGGAATTAACATAAGAACTCAAGAATCCTTTACCTAAATGAGTAGGATGGACGTTTTTGATTCCTCCAGATGTTTTTTAAGACCTCTCAAAGACAATGACAGAGAATAGGAGATAAAGATTTTCACTATGCCCACTAGGCCCTGTTACATCACTATCTTTTAAAATTTCCATGGCAACCACTTTATCCATGAAGAAATCAAAGCTCAGCAAAGTTAAGTTGCAGCCTCATTGGTTGCACAGTTTGACCCATGTCTCTCTGACAGCAAAATGCATGCTTTTTCTACTCCCCAACACTCATCTCCAACTCCAAGGGGCTCAATAATTGGAACAAGGGACAGAAATTCACTGACAGATTCCAAAATCTATCTGTGTTGCTGAAGTGTGGGGGAGGAATCTGAGTCTTCCAGCTGTGAAAATGAAACGTCTTCTTAGAGTCTAAGTCCTATTATAAACCACTGGAATTTTTTAATTTTTAAAGTTTTAAAAATAATTTGATAGCCAGATCACTGGTACACACTGGCCTTTACACATGGCCATCAAACTTCCCCGGCTGTTGGAGGTTTCTATTTAAATAAAAATTCACACTGCAGACTAAAGTCAAATAACTATTTAAACAAAATCAATTGACTTCCCATAAATTTTACTATAGGCCAAATATCCCGAGCTTATGAATCTGTAACAAAGATTATAACACCGTGGAATCCCTGCTAGCTTACATGCCAACTGCTCTTAGCAGCCGGCTTTGACTACCCCTCCCTGAAACACTGATTCTCACAGCATCTCAGCACTGTGACCTCTGGCCTTCTGGTCTGAGGATTCATAAAGAGATAGGTCACAGGCAGCCACAGCGCACTACAGGGAAGCCACTGCAGAAATCAACATCCACTTGTTGGATGCTATTTACTGAGCTTTCCTCGTGCTATACATGCATTATCTCACGGGATTCTCAGAGCAACCCTACTACTAATGTTCTCATTTTCCAGATGAGGAAACTGAGGTTTAGAAGTTAAAAGACTTTGCACAGAGGAATAAGCGGAATTCAAACCCAGGTAGTCTAACTCCGGAGTTGTCACCCTAAAGGCTCTCACTGCTCAAGAACTCCATAAAGAGACAATGGCAAGTCACTTAATAGAGGGCAGAGTATACGTGTACTACATTAAGTAGGAAAAGGTGGTATGGTCATTCCTCTCTCTTCTTGGCCACCCCTGGGCACACCATACGGCTACCACCACCATTCAGAGTCTGAGTGGCCAAGAGTTGGCAGGTGCCACTCATTTGATAAAAGTGAGCCATTACTTTTTTATCCTCATATTATCATTCACATTTGAAAATCTTTACTTATGAACAGCTATTTTTATGATAACCAAAAGAACGGAAAAAAAGTTTATAAACATAAAATTTTTATGTTACAGGTTTTAATGTTTCACTGAATAATACCAAAGCCAGGTAAACTTTTTTTAATGTTTTAAACAGAACCTATTCTATCCATTTTACGATAAATACATTTAAAGAGCTGTCTCAGCACTATTTATAAATATTTAGTTTTTAAATAGCATTTATGAAACACATAGGCAATGAGCAACATCAAGTATCATTGGATGACTACACCTAAAGGTTGTATACCCAAAGCTAAACATTAAGACTTTCTAACAGCATTCTTTCCCAACTGTTCACCTAGTTTAAGTACACTTCTCTCAAGGCTCCTGTTGGGTCAGTCTTAAGCACTATTAACCTCACTGTTTTCTGAGCCCTACACCCAGTTCTCTACACTCACTCCTGCTTTAGCTCCACCATTACCTAAATCCACTGAGGCCTTTTAAGTCCTATTTAGCCAAAATGACTGGAATGTAGGGGTGTGAAATCAATCTTGTCAGTCTATTGTTTACTTTGATATCTTCATCAAACATTCTTTGGTTCTTCCACTTAACCAATAAAAAAGATAAATACGCTGATTTCTGTTACACACAAAAATTACAATATTTATCTTGGGTTCAATGCCTAACCCCTAACAGTTGGGAGATTAGGAACAAAAAGGCAAAATTTAAAACATTTTTAAGTAGTATTGTTATATCAGCAAGTATTCTCCTGCTTAGGAAATATACACATTGAAATACTTAAGAGTCTGCGACTCACTGCCAAATGGTTCAAAGGTAACAGTGTGATATACAGACAGAGAAAATAAAGCCAATGTGGCAAATGTTAATAACTGGTGTAAGGAAGTTTTTGCACTGATTTTGTAATCTTTCTGTAAATTTTAAAATATTTCAAAATTTAAAAATGAGAAAAAAATCCACAAATTTAAGCATTCCATATCATTTGGGGCCGGAGCTCAACAGCAATTTGTACCTGGTTTATTTTTCATTACACCGATTAGGAGGAAGAAACAGTTTCTTAAACAACCAGCTTTTAGATGATTCAATAAAGCACTGCAGTCAACGTTACTTAATTATTAACCCTATGTTAGTCTACACAAGGTAATGAACCATGTTATCTGTTGGTTAAAATTACTCTTTCGCTTAAATATATGCTGTTTCTTCTAATTTAGAGTACAAATCAAAAAAAAAAAAAAAAAAAAAGGAGGCAGTGCTGTAGGAAAGGACTCTCAATATCCCAGCCAGTAGGAATTGAGGGTTTTATTGGGTAATCACAAGGCAGTTTCCCACCTGGTAATAGCTGGCTTTGGCCTCAATCATCAGCTGCTGGGTGGAGATCAACTTTTTCCTGCGTTTACACTCTTCCTTGAGTAACTTGATCTCGCCGGCCTGCTTGGTGAGGAGCTTCTTGCTCTGCTCGCACTCGGCCAGGCTCAGGCGCAGCCGCTCCTCCAGGTTGTGCAGCTGCGAGGTGAGGAACTCCTGCGAGTGCAGCAGGTACTCGATGGTGAGCTGCGCCAGGCGGATGAGCTTCAGCAGCACCGGGTCCACCCCCGACTGGCAGTGCGGGCACTTCTCGTCCTCCAGCTTGCAGAAGGTGATGTTCATGATGTTCTCCTGCAGCGTGAGCACGTCCACGGCGCCTGCCACCTTGTCCACGTCGATGGCGCTCAGCCGCCGCCAGTCCACGCTCTCCAGCCGCGGGCGGAACTGGAAGAAGGGCAGGGGGCCCGAAGCCGCGCTCGGGGGGCCGCAGGCCATGGCGGCCCCGCCCGCCGCGGCGGCTTCGGAGGCAGGTCTCTCCAGGCTGTTGGCGAGCGGGTAGTAGACGTGCTTCTGAAACGGCTGCGGGAAGGAGAAAGAATGGGGGAGCCGGAGGGGGCTGGGAGTTCTGTGGAGTCCCCGCCGCCCCAGCCCGGCATCGGCAGGCGGGCGTCCCGGGCTTGCCGCCTCTTACCATGCTTGGAAGCAAATCCGCTGCCTCTGCCGGCTTCGGAGGAGGGGGCAGTCCCGTCTACCCGGCCCGGGCCGCCTCCCGGGCCGCCGCCGCCCCACCCCTCGGAGCGGGGAGAAGGCCGGGTCCCGGCGGCGGCGGCGGCCTAAGGCCTGGGCGTCTAGGCCGTTGTTATGGCAGCGCCACGGGCGTGGACCTGGAGCAAAGTGCGAGCCGGCCAGCGCGCGGTCAGCGTGCGCCCAAGGCCCTGCGGGGCCAAAGAAGAACTCGTCGTGAGCCAGCCGAGGACACACCGGTCCACCTCGAGAGGTCACACTTCCTGAGCGCCGGCTCGCGGGGCACCACCTTGCAAGTCTCTAAGGCGTGGGGAGCCACATCCTAGCTGCCAGCCTCTGATCCTCGCCTTAGGATTTTGAGATTAGAAAGAACCATTCATCCTCCTCTTTCACGCACAACTCAGAAAACGTGAAGCAACAAATCTATGTAAAATTAAATGGGATGGAGAGGGGCCTAGCTGCAAAAGGGCACGAAGACACTTTCGGGTATAATAAAAAAAATGTTCTCTATTTTGATTGTCTTGTTGATTATCCGGGCATATACATTTTTCAAAACTCACTGAATGGTACACTGAAAATTAATGGTGCATTTTGTACATTATACTTCAATAAAGTTGTTTTTAAAATTAAATTTGTAGTGTAGTTAATTATATTTGATGGAAGGCCTCCTAATTTCTTACATCCAAGATACTTTTTTAAATGGAGTCTTTCTTCCTCTCTGGGTTGGCCACCTAGATATAACATTCGGATAGAATTTCAAACCAAAGAACTTCCCCAACTATGTAATACCTTACTTGTCTTTCCAAAAGGATACTTTTTTCAAAATGTGAAGATAAAGACAATTATACGGAGGGGGAACTTTACAGGGCCCTGGTATTTACCTTACAAACTTGTGTGGCAGCTGCATTCTGTTTTCTGGAGAGGCTGAACTATTTCTAGCAGCAACTCGTAGACCTCAGGCCTCTCATTCTCGAGGTCTTCTGGGAGCTGCCTGTGGTTACCATAGAGATGGATGAACTGAGGAAAAGCCAGCCATTCCTCAGTCCACCGGGGAGTCCCTGCTTGGACCAACCATCAGGAAAATTTTTGTCTCTCCTAACAGCCAAAGAACAGAAGAAACAAAAATACAGTTCAGAGTAACTGGAAGCAAACCTGTAATGTCAAACATTTCTAGCCCTTTCTAGACACTGAGAACTAGAAATAAGCCCACAGGAAAGCATCCAGAAACTAAGCATACACTTAATAAGACTTCATAGAAGCCATGCATCCAAATAATTTTGAACAGGATTTTGAAAGAAAAAGAGCTATTATCGATTAACTACAGCCAACATGACAGTCTTAAAGATCTAGCTTCAAAGTCTGATTCTTCCATTTACTTGCTGCCTGACCTACAAGTTACGGCAGCTCTAGGCTTCAGTGACCCCGTCTGTTAAATAGACGTCAGGATACCGACCTGGCAGGTCTATGTACCCTGGACTCCATCCACTGGGCTGCAGGATCAGCGGGAACAAGGGCCGTGGTCTCTCTTGCTCACCGTTATATCCCCAGCACCTGGCATAGATCAGGCACGGAGAGGCGCGTTAAGAATTTGCCAAAAGGACACGTGGATAAAGAATGATCCGAATGAGGGGCTTCCCCCGTCGCTCAGTGGTTAAGAATCCGCCTGCCAATGCAGGGGACACGGGTCTGAGCCCTGGTCCGGGAAGATCCCACATGCCGCGGAGCAACTAAGCCCGTGCGCCACAACTACTGAGCCTGTGCTCTAGAGCCCGTGAGCCACAATTACTGGGCCCGCATGCTGCAACTACTGAAGCCTTAGTGCCTAGAGCCCATGCTCTGCAACAAGAGGAGCCACCGCAATGAGAAGCCCGCCCACCACAAGGAAGACTAGCCCCTGCGGGCCGCAACTAGAGAAACCCCAGCGGCAGCAACAAAGACCTAGACAAAAATAAGTAAATTAAACAAATTAAAAAAAAAAAAAGAATGATCCGAATGAATTAGGCGCTGAGGAAACGTCAGCTCCCGGCCCCTGCCCCTCATATTTCCTGTGCCCCCGGGCTCTGGGTCCAAGCCCTTGAAACTTGGGGGTGTATCCGCGCGCTCCCACTGCATTCGGGGCAGGAGGAGCGCGGGCCTCGAGGCGCCCATCTCCGTTCGCCGCCACCACTCCGGCCCCGAGCGCCGCGCCGCTGGCCACCCTCGCCCCTCGGCTGAATCTGAGTCGCAAGATGGCCGGAACAGGAAAGAAGGGGGCACGCTTTCCCGTTCCCTCTGCAGGGCCCCCAGCCAGGCGCAGCGCCTCCCGCCCCGGGCGCACCATGGGGACGACCCGCCGAACCCACAAAGACAAAGGCCGGGGAACGCAGGCTCCAGTGGGGTCCCGGCGCCGCCCCTCAGAAGGCAAGCAAACGGGGGAGTGGGGGGCTGCGGCAGCCAGGCCAGCGGGGTCTGCAGCGCCTCGGCTCGCAGCGGGAAAAGAGGAAGGAGGGCCGGGCTTCGCAGGCACCCAGAGGCCCGGCTTCCCCTGGGCGCCTGGCGCATCCCTGACCTCGACTCACCCCAGCTGCGCGCTCCTGGGCAGGCGCCGGGCGCTGCAGGCGGACAGGGGCGAGGCTGGGGACGCAGGCTCCAGGGGCGCTGCTGGCGCTGGCGGGCCCGTGGAGGCCGAGGAGCAGCCGGGAGGGAAGCGGCGGGCCAGCTCCTTCTTCCAGGACGCAGAAGGTGAGGCCTGTCTGTTCTGGGCAAGTTGTGGCGAGGCTAGCCGCCTGGCGCCTCTCCAGGCCCTCCCAGATTCCCGGCCACGGGAGCCTCGGGATCCCCCCCCCCCCCCTCCCGCCCCCTCCCCTCTGCGATCTCCCTCCGGCCTCTTCTCTCTGCCTCCCGGCTCCTCCAGCTGCTGGGCGGGACTGTGCGCGTCTAGACCGCCGCGCGAAAATGCGCTCCGCCAATCCCGCTGTTGGTGCAGACACGTGGTGCCTGGGCGCGCTCTGTTGCTGGCGTGGGATGCTAGCCCCAGGAAGACTTTTAAAAGAGAAACCAGATTCACTCCTACCCTGCGGTTAGCCTAACGCCCAGCTAGCTAATTTCCCACAGAGGCAGGGGCTTTTTGTGAATTCCTTCTAAGAAGAGATGCATTTTAATCGCAGAAGTCTGCAGATGCAAGAGACCTTGTAGGGCTATCTCATGCAGCCTTGCACTTGAGTGACGGGGAAAACAGGATTAAAGACCATGTGCCGAAGCACACAAGGATTTAAACCCATCTAGATTCCGCGTCTCTTTTGGTTATGCCCCTTTTAGGACGAAAGGCGTGGATCTCTGTTGGCAGAAAGTTTGTCGGTGAGGGAGAGGGGACGACCGGAGTCAAGAGTAAGGTGACTGTTTTTTAACCTAAAATTGGAACACACGGTCTAACAATGGGGCAAAGTTCCATATAATGCGTAATCCAGAAAGTATGCACATATTTTAACAACCATGAGGTTGACCCAGATTGAGAAATTTGAGTGCATATTTTGCAAAATCTTACTGTCTGTTGTAGCAAAATAGTTCTTCACTTAGAAAGGAGTAACTTCAGAATTTTTGTTGGATGACAACGTGTTACTGTAAAATGCCTTTCCTTGTGTTTCTCTTTGAATTAACTTTATCGGCTACTTTATTTAGCACAAGGCATCAAAAATAGTAATAGCTCAAAAAGTATTTATGTTGAGTTCCTTTCTTGTTTTAGTTTTTAATTAAAATCATAAGACCTAGGACAACCTTAACAGGTTTTTAAAAATTTGTCCCATTTCAATTTAATGCTTAATAGAAATTTCAGGCAATGTGAGGGAGATATGGCCACTGCTTTGCAAAATCTATATACTCTGTAGCCCTTTGTGGTGTGTGTGTGCGTGCCTTAGAGGATGGTTGCTTAATTAACATTATTTGATAATACACCATTTGTGTTACCAGTATGCCCATCCCCAACTTTCAGTATATTACGGCACATATGCAGAATTGGAAGAAATAAGATGAACCAGTTGACCTTGGCATGGCATAGCAGCATCATACATTCTTTTTATTTATTTATTTATTTATTTATTTATTTACTTTGGGCTGTTTTGGGTCTTCGTTGCGGTGCGCGGGCTTTCTCTAGTTGCGGTGAGCGGGGGCTACTCTGTTGCAGTGCGTGGGCTTCTCATTGTCGAGGCTTCTCTTGTTGCGGAGCACGGGCTCTAGGCGCTCGGGCTTCAGTAGCTGTGGTACGTGGGCTCAGTAGTTGTGGCTTGCGGGCTCTAGAGCTCAGGCTCCGTAGTTGTGGAGCACAAGCTTAGCTGCTCCGCGGCATGTGGGATCTTCCCGGACCAGGGCTCGAACCTGTGTACCTTGCATTGGTAGGCAGATTCTTAACCACTGGGCCACCAGCGAAGCCCAATCATACATTTTTGATCCTTTCAAACCTCTTATACCAGTTATCACAGCTGAGCAGGGTGTTGCTGTGGTCATTAAATAATTTAAAAATTTTAAGTTATTTAGGTATCTGTCTCCTGCATCAGACTGTGAGAACCTGACGTGTTCTAGCACACTGAGCACATAGTAAGTGCTCAAATAAGTATGTGGTTTTGAAGACAGAAATGATCCTAAAAAAGGAAAATAGAAATATTGGTTACTATTGATCATTTTGTATAGTTAGTAAATTAAAGTGTTATATCTGAATTTATTTCAAATTTTTTTCATTTCTCCTGTTTGAAAACAGCAAGTGTGACAAAATGAAAATTACATTGAGGCAGGCAGTTGGGGATGGTGGCCAGCATGGTATCTATTTATTATTAAACATTCCCAGGTCTTATAGGAGTAAAACAAAGATTAGATATTCAAAGTGGACTTTGAATCCAAGTAATTAAAAGGTATTAAATCAGACTATACATGTTGTTTCTGCCCTTCGTTTTTGATCACCTGGCTAATGTCTTTTAGTTATAATTATAATATCATATATAGTATACAGAAAAGTGTGTAAGATATATATGTACAGTTTAAAGAATAATCAAATGAACATTTGTATACCCACCCCCCAGTTTAAACTATTCCTAGCATTTTGGAAACTCCTCTTTGTACCTCCCCAATCATATCCCTTTCCATCCTCCTACTTAACAGTTGTCCTAACTTTTGGGTTAAATCATTCCCTTTTTCGTACAGTTTACACATTATATTGTTTACATATTATATAGACAGTATATTATTTGCTTTTGAAAAATTGAGTAGCAAGCACAAATTGTGTAAAGATGAGTCAGATGAGTGTCAGGGTCCATACTACCTTTTAAGGCAAGAGGGCTTCCACCCTGGCCTGGCCCTTTAGAAAAGCCCAAGAAGCTAATGGACCTGGTCCTCCCATAGCCTGTGCTCTCCCATTCTAGACCATTCTTCATAGAACCTTGGAGCTTCCTGCACAAACCGTCCACGCCAACTTTCAGAACCTGTATGGGCTGCTTCTCCAAGTCCGTCTTCTCAAAGACAGACTGTATTGCTTATGGTTAGCCACATGGGGTGGCCGCAGTCAGCAGACTATTTAGAAGTACTAAATAGCGCAGGTATATGGATTGGCAAATATAACCCTAAGGCACACAAGGCCTCTCTCTGGTCGGGATGGTGCCAGGATACAAAAGAGAAGAGTTGCTGCCTGGGAGCTTGGCTGAGTCCAAGAATTCTAAATTCAAACCTGGCTTTGCAGCCTCAGCTTCCTTTGAGTAACTTAAAATAGAATGCTGCTGGCAGGTGGTTGTAAATGTATATTGCAAACTCTAGGGCAACCATTAAAAAATTAAAAAGAGGAGTATGATTAACATGTTAAGAGAGGAGATAAATGGATTGTTATAAACTGCTCCATTAAAACCAGAAAAGGCAGGAAAAGAGGGTGAAAAGAAAAGAAAAGAAAGAAAAGAAAGGAAGGAAGAAAGAAGAACGAATAGAAAACAAACATGGAAGCCATTAGCCCAATTATATCAATAATCATTTTAGATGTGAATGGTCTAAATAAACCAATTAAAAGATTGTCAGAGTGGATTAAAAAAAATTAGACCCAACAGTATGTTACATATAGGAAACTCACTTCAAATATAAAGACTTAGATGGTTTAAAAGGGATAGAAAAAGAGACATCACTAATCAAAGGAAATCTGGAGCAGCTGTATTAGTTTCAGACAAAGCAGACCTCAGAACAAGGAAAATGATTAGGAACTAAGAGGAATACTGTATAATGTTGAAGGGGTCAGTGTTCCAAGAAGACATAATCCTTAACATGTATGTACTCAAGAAAGGAGTATGAAAATAAATGAGGCAAAACAGAACTGGAAAGAGAAATAGACAAATTCACAATTATACTTGGACACTTCAATATCCCTCTTTAACAATGAATAGATCAGTTAGGACAAAATTGACCCAAATAGTCCTATCTAACTTTTATCTAACAACCTGATCTAATTGGCAATTATAGAATATTCCATCCAACAACAGGAGAATACACGTTCTTCTCAAATTTGCATGGAACGTTCAGAAAGATAGACTACATTCTGGACCATCTCACACACCTTAACAAATGTAAAAGAATAGAAATCATACAACATATGTTCTCAGACCACAGCAAAATTAAACTAGAAATCAGTAGCAGAAGGATAGCTGGAAAATCCCCCAATATTTGGAGATTAACCAACATGCTTCTTCAGAGAAGAACTCTCAGGAGAAATTTTAAAATATTTGGAACTAAATAATAATACAACTTATTAAAATTTGTGGGATGCAGTGAAAATGGGGCTTAGAGGGAAATTTGCTCATTAGAAGTGAGTCCCTAAGTTTGACTGACACCCAAAGGGAGGGGAATCAGGTTTGCCTTTTGAAGGCAGGGCGCATCAAAGATTTTGAGGCCATGTTTTGAAACTACACGGCAACCAGTACCAGAACCTCCCTTTCTTTGATTGTTCCCTGGTGGCTTAAGTAGAGAAAATTACTTGATGACAGTTTCAATTTACAATTCAATTGAACCATTTACGTGTTGCCTTGAACTGACTAGGGTCTGGCAGATGGGTTCAAAATCAAAAGCCAAAACCCAAACCTAACTCTCATGGAAGGTGGCTCAGTCCTGGTGTTTGTAGTAGGATGGGAGGGGCCCTACAAACCAGATAAGAACTTGTGGTTTGATGAAATGCCACACTTTGAAGCCCCTGATTAATTTATGGGGGAGAGTCAGACTGTTTTTATCAGAATCTGATTGACATGACCATGGTAGGATTACCAAGCTGGCTTTACCTCTGGTAGTTAACAGCCTCTACATGGGCCCAAGCATCTTGGGCTCCTCCCGTCCCCCCTGAGATCTGGGAGTCCATTTCAATGGCAGCTCTTGCACCCAGCGTTCCAAGTCTAGAGAGGGCTTTCTGTAAAGAGCAGTCACTTCCCTTAGGAGATGGTTTCAGAATTTTAGTTCACTACGCTTTCAAGCTCTCTTCCTTTAATGTGTCTTCCTGCTCTGCAGAAGCGAGGGAGCTAACAACCGTGCTAACCAGACTCCTTTCCAGCTCATATTCTGGAAGCAATTGGTTTCTGCCAATTAGACACACTTTGAAAAAAAAATAAATTTATTTATTTATTTATTTATTTTTGGCTGCGTTGGGTCTTTGTTGCTGCGTGAGGGCTTTCTCTAGTTGCACCGAGCGGGGGCTACTCTTCATTGTGGTGCTCGGGCTTCTCATTGCAGTGGCTTCTCTTTGTTGTGGAGCAGGTGCTCTAGGAGTATGGGCTTAAGTAGTTGTGGCATGT